AAAAAAAAAACTATACATAATTAATATAATAATTTTAAAAAATTATTTACTAAAAATAATACAGTAATTTTAATATTCAAAAATATAAACAATTACATACCAAAAAGCTTTCTTAAATCTGTAATAACTTTCTCATTCCATGTTTTTACATCACTTGCAGGAATGTATCTTTCAAAGGTCTAAAATAATTTATCAGAATTTAAAAATTTAAGAAACAAATTTCAAGAAACATTCCATTAATTCTAACCTGAGTAGAAATGTTTTCTTTCTTCACATTATTTAGGATGCTATTTTTTACTTCTTGAAGCTCCCTTTCATGAGTTTTCTTTAGATCTGTAATTTTTTTTTCAGTTTTCAAAATTTCTTCTTCCTGAAAATTTAACATCTTTCCCTTCAAATTATCCACAATGGAATGAAATTCTTCAGTCAATCTTGCTATCTCATCGGTGTGCTTTTTATTTAATGCTTGTATGTGTTTCTGATACTTTCTTAATTTTTCCCTCAGCTTGTTTTCTCTTTCTTGAACTTCTTCTAATTCTTGCTTTGATACTTTTAAATCTACAGTTAATTTATTCATTTCATTTTTGAATTCAGTACTTGAAAATACTTGGTTCTCTTGAAGTTCTTGTTGTATCGGTTTAGTCAAAGTACTTATCTTCTTATTAAGCTATATATATAAATTACTTTTAAAAAATCTTATTTGAAAAACTAATAATCATTTAAAAATTTTAAATATAAATATGTAATTTACTTTGTTCTCATCTAATCTCATCAAAGAGGATGACTTTAGAGTTTCAATTTGTTGTTCTAATCTTTTAATCTCTTGTTTTGAGTTTTGAATTTCAGCTATATGCTGCATCGTTTCTTCATTCTACAATATATTAAATACAATTTTAATATAATTTATTAAACCTAAAGTAAATAGTTATCTTTTAACTCTACCTTTTGTTTATGACATATTTTCTTAGTATTAGATATTGCTTCTTCTAATTCTTGTAAATATTTTTGTCTTAATTTTTCCATATTTTGAGAATATTCTTTTTCAATTAATTTTATTTTATCACCATATTTTTTTTCTAATTCTGCACGTAGTTCATTTAATGATTTCTGTTTATCATTCTCATAATGATTTATTATTTTGATATATAAGTCTTCTATAGCAGTTTCTCCTTTAATGTTATCGCCTCTCTGAGTACAGACATATTATTAAACAGTATTTTGAAAAATTTATACAATATTTTTTGTATAAAATACTTATTAAAATAATTACCTCACTAAATTCAATTAATTCTTGAAAACAGTCCATCTTTATTTTCTGTACAATATTTTCCATTTGTTGGATTTTCTGTATTTTCATCTGTTCTAATAACTGATTTCTTTCCTCTTCAAATTTACTTTCAGTTTGTTTGGTAATAGCAATTATCAATTTATTCCTTTCTATTGCATAAAGAAAAATCAATAATATAAAATTAACTTATATTGATTTGAATTTTATATCATGTTATCTTATGTTTTTTAGTATTGATCTATTTTAACAAGTAACAATAATATTAAGTAAAACTAATTATGGAAACACTGAAAAAACCAAAACTCCAGAAAAGCAAAAATTCCCAAGAAATTTAATTTAATGAAAAAAGCAAGTGTTTTAATAGCTAGGGTCAACAACATATCTGTTGCCTTTAGGTAAAATCTTATCCTCTACATGCTACTGATGAACTGTAAGGGCTATTATGAAGGACTTCTAGCAGGGATTTAAACCATTCCAGTCACTGGCAACATCCTCAACCAACTATTGGAATACATTGGAACTCTAGCCTACCCCTTGCCCAGTGATTGAAGTAACAGCTAACTTCAATAAATAAGGGACACAACACACACCAACTGCTTTAGCCTGCCTACCCATGGAACACATCCTAGCACACCTGAATGAGACCTGACTTTTACATCCAGCCAGGGATCTCCCAACACTCAAACACCTAGAGTTATTGGAAATACAAAAATGTTGCCATCAATTTCAAGGAGAGAAATACCCTCCATCATGGCATGGAGATCCTTACTTGAGGTCCTTTTATAATTTGTCCACTGCTTTACATCATTATATGAATAATCAATCAGACAATGCCTTCAAAATATTTAAAAATTGATGTTAGAATTTTTGTTCTACTTTTGAATACTGTTTTAACCTGATGATGATAGTTCATAAAATCTTTTTTTTTTTCATATTTTCATTAAATTTCTCACAAATTTTTGTTGGAGTTTGGTTTCTATATTATTATCCAGTTTTTGAGATATTATGAAACTAATTAATTACTTTATATTTTAAAAGCTTTTATAATATTAACATGAAATAACTAAAACTAAACTTATTAAAAATTTATAAATACAAATTTCTAGTTATGAATTATAAAATTATAATCTCTAATTATTTAATACTTTATAATGGTGGTAGTCAACCTGGTCACTACTGCCCACTAGTGGGCGATTCGAGCTTTTGTGGTGGGCAGTAGGCATTTTGTCCGTCATCACTGCGCATCTATGACTCACTGACGAAGCAGGTTGTACTGCACTCTAGTGCATGTAAAGAGGGTGGGGTGTAACAGTGGCCATCACTCGAGTTGAGCTTGTTTCGTGGTGGGACCAGCCTTGCCAGATTTGGCTACTTCTTTCAGTTTTTGGCATAAAAAAAAACATATGGTGCACTGGCAAAAACTGCCCGTGTATTATAAACATATGCAAAGAATAAAAAGATAAATTTAACTACATATTTTTACTAAACCTCCACTCAAAAATTACAAGTACTTTGCAGTTGCGCTAAATTAAGTTACTGCAGAACCAGTGGGCGGGTAGAAAACTTTACTACCAACAAAGATACAAAAGTGGGCAATAGGTATAAAAAGGTTGACTATCCCTGCTTTATAATATTAAAATACTCAACATTTTTGTATCAGTGATTGAGGCCAATGTAGCTATAAAACTATATTGGCCTCAATCATTGATACAAACATCTAATAGAAGTAGACTTTTTACATATTTACATAAAAATTAAATAGTGCACTCAAAAAAAATATTAAATATGCTATCAAGAAAATTATCTATCAAAGGAGTAAAATAAATTATTTGCCTTAAGGCAACAAAGTTTTTTGAGACACACCATTAGTGTTTTAAATTACTAAAATATGTTGTGTGTTGCTAATAATTATCTATATATATAAAAATGAATGTATGTCTGTCTGTCCTTCATGCATTACTACACCATTTATCCGATTGCCATGAAACTTTGGGAAGTTGTTTAATATACTCCCGCAAAGGTTTCTGGCATAGTACATTTATCCTACAATAGATAGCGTACGTGTATACAAGCATTTCATCATGAGCATTTCAGCATGGTTAGGAGTTGAAACTTGAAATTTGGTACACAGTTAGGGTACATCACGAGAACACACACTAACAAGGGATTTTTTGAAATTTTCCCCACCCTCGCGGGGAAAGGGACAGGATTAAGGCTTCAACAATGGAAGTGTTAAGAGAAAGCAACGTGCAAGATTTACAGGCACAGATGCAGTTTTTTGCATTAAATCGAACATAATTTTAGACCCATCTAAAAATATTCTAATTAGTCTGGAAACAGGGGAACCTAATTCTTGCATTCTGTGAAAACGGGTAAGATTGGCTGTAATGTAATAATCTTAATCTTCGCTATTGTTACTTTTTGCCCAAGCAACACCGGGCTTATCTCCTAGTAATTCAATAAAATGGCATATGAATAATAGATTTTAAAGGTCATTTGTTTATTATTATTAATTTACTGTATGTTTATTTTTATTAAATATTTTTATATATAGGTAGGAAATTATATACAGCTAACAGCTTTTACAAAGAACAACTTTAAGTTACAAAAATGCAGAAAATATAACTTCTGATTGTAATCCCATTTTCTAGAAAAAACTAATAAATCATAATCAACAGACGATTTTTTTTGTTTTTTTAAGTGTAGAATTCGGCTTTTTTACTTGTACTGTACAATTGATAATTCAAATATATACAAAATCAATCATCTGTAAAATTATATTTTGCTTTTTTACAAACATCTTTTAGATTAGCATTGTTAACAGCAGAGACTGAAACTAACATGAATGACATATTAAGCAAACACTATATCATCTGCAAGTTATTTTGAACATACAGCATCTCCTGCTTAACATTTTCCTGGTAGAATGTCTTTGGTTTTTAATACCCAAACTTCATAGAATGTACTGTACTGTACCTACATATCTCTTGATACAACATTTTAAGGCCAATGTTTATATAAGAAAAATTTATAATGTATTTAAATTCTGAAAATTTAATACATCATTTTTAAATAAACAATATGGGGGAAAAGTCTTAAGTTGTATTTCAAATAAATTGATTATAATGTTAGAATCATGTATAAATATTTTGTAAAGTTCCCCAAACATACCACTTTTCTGATCTATCTTGTATGGTGTCATATACCAACACCTGCTTATCAGAAAAAGTTTAAATATGCTTATATGACATCACTAACAGCAATCAATCTGTTCTCTAATTTAAAAAAGTGTCAGACACATTGATAAGAATGTATTGCAATTTATTTGTTCTTTACTATAAATTTTATCTGCATTTTGTCCCAACAAAATTTTTCTTCATTGCTTTGTGTTATTTGCTTTGTAGTATTACAAACATAATGTTTACAATATAGTACAGGAAATAACAGTGAAATTAAAATCTATATCATTGTCTCTTGAAAATATATTATTACTTAATTTATTATGTATTGTAGTTGATTTATAATAATAGCATCAACTCTTCAATCTTACTATCTTAAATAAACAGTGCATTGTAACAGGCTCAGTTAATAGATAATTATCTACTGTGGCATTGTGTGTTTCTTAATCTCTAAATAAGATATAAATATAGTTTTAACTTTGAACTTTATTTAAAATATTTTTAAAAAGCAATTTTATAAAACAATAGACTAAAAGTAAATCCATATTACAATATGCTTTATATGTTATATTTGTTAGTTTATAAACTTTCTTCAAATTAAATTATATATTTACAATTGATTATTCTTAAAATAGCAAGTACAAGTATACCTCGCCTTACGTCGGTAATTGGTTCCAGGAAAGCGACGTAAGTCGAATTTACTTGTCTCTGAATCTACTTGTCACTAGGCTAAACCATAAATTACCATTTCCGGTTCTGTATTTTATTTATTAATGCATTTTTAATAATATATGGTTAATAAGGATCTATTTTAAGCTTACAAACAAATAAACTTTAGTTTTTAATATAGTACAGAAAAAAGTAATCTAAATTTACAAATGCATGTACTGTACTGTAAATACAGTACATACTTGTAAATGTATATATTTTAATATGATATTATGTACTTTAAATGCTTTTCTAGTGATATTACGACTTCAATATTTGTGGCGAACACACGTAAAGTCGAATAAAATGACTTAAACTTGATTTTTATTTTTCCATATACTTTTTTGACAAACGACGTATAATCAGGAACGACGTAACTCGAAACGATGTAAGTCGAGGTATACCTGTATACATACACACAACTTTCAAACTGCTTAGAGATTATTAACATTCCATGAAATTTCATAGTAAGAACCTTAAAAAATGCACTAAAATTTATATTTTATTTATCAACAATTAAAAAATAATTTATATAAAAGAGTCAATAATTTCTAAATAAAATTTGCTTATAATTTAAGCATTTAATTAAATTAAAATATTTTAAAATTTTATTAAATGTGTTTAGTACACATGACTTCATCTGTAAAAGCAAATAAACAATACACTTACAAAATGATATTGTATTAATTTCTTTGTTAATTAAATTTGGAACTAGTACAAGCTTATAAATTTAACTAAGAAATGAATTTAAAAAAATAAACTAGTAATATCAGACAAAGCTAGTAACTTTTTAACAAATATTGTAGATGTTAAATAAACAGAGCAGATGTTGGTAACTAGTCTGTCTAGAAATAGAAAAAAATTTTTATGATTAATAAAGAAAAATAACTTGTTTAATACAAGAATTGATAAAATATGGATCTATGAACTTATCTATTGTTGAGAATATATAGTTACAAAAATTTAATAGACAGAGTTTGTTAATTCCAAGAGACAGACAATTTGTTTTTTAATGCAGTTAGGACTCAAAAATTAAATTATTATATAATTTTGTCTTTGCATTTATTTAGAACTATTTTTTATATTTTTTTAAAATTTACTTCCTATTCTAGTTTTAATTTGATTTATCACACCAAAATTCAAAAATTATTAATATTGAGATCAAGTTTTGTTAACAATTATTTTTTAATATTTACAAGTTCATTTATGTTTTAATGAAAATAATACTTGAACTTGGCACCATATTCAAAACAATGAGGGAAAAAAATGCTTAGTGTGTTCTATTTAATTCAATTTGTTTACTTACAACTTCCTATTTTAATTATTCTGATTTTACTTCACTTTTTAATTTAAAAATGTTTGAACATAGAGATGTTCTCTCTTTCAGACAAAGTTGTTCTAACATACTTGCTAATTTTTATAGCTGAAGATGTTCTTATAAAAGAACAAAAACATTACTGAATAAAACTTTAATTTGGTTTCCAGAATTAAGCATTTCTTCTCATCCTTTTTTTTATTATGTTTTAATAAATACATTAAATTTATTATTATTAACCACCTTTTAGTTTAATTCATTCTCTACTTATTTAGTTATCATTATAAGAATGTATTTGTTTTTACTGTAATTTTAAAATGTCTTTTCTATTTTCTGCTCAAATTCTTAATTTTTGGGAATGAAGACATATATTTATAAAAAACATTTCAGAGCACTAAATTATTATTTGCTAACTTCTTCATCTAAGATTTTTTGTTATTTTTATATAAAATGAAATACATTCACATAAAATTTCTTCATTAATTAAATGAAAAACATAATTGAGAGAAGTATAATTTGTGATATTTTTTTGAAATAATTTATAAACTTCTTTTTCTTTTCTCTCTTTGAGATGTTAACATTAAAAACTGCTGTTAACAGCATATAAATGACAATATATACAAAATAGATTTCTGAAACCAAAAAGATTTTGCATCAGAATCCTATTTAATTCTTCTATTAATGTACAGTATAGTACAATTCAGAACTATGAAAATCAAATTCATTAACTTTCTAATAAATTTCTATAACAAAAAAATTCATAGAAAATATTTAGTGTTTACCAACTACCAGATTTCAGTAAAAATATACAAAAAGGAATTTGAAATGAATAAATATGCAATGATTGTTAAAGTAAATTATCAAATACTGAAAATTTGGAAACATGAAGAAAACCAATTTTTCTTCTATCCAAAGAAGAGAAAAATATTTGGGAATTCAGATTGGTATTTATAAATTATTATAGGTTAAAGCATCTTTAAAATAGTAAACACAAATAGAAAGTAATAAAAATAATAAAGAATAAATTGGACTCTAAAATACAAAATATCTTCAACAAATTCATGGGCTATATCTATTTTATTCTGAACTGGTCACAGACTGATTTGGAAGCTCTTGACAGGTAGATTAGATCAATACTAACAACTTTTCATGTTTATCATTATACAGTGGCAACTTGAAAGACTATCTGATGAGGTTTGCAGGGAAAGAGAGCTCTTTAATATTCAAAAATTAAGTATTAAGATAACTAGAAAATTACAAGTTTATTCTGTAAAATAAGATTACTCCAACCTATGCAGCTTTTGTCTACTGTATTCAACAATACACACCACTTAACTTTCATTTTTAAGATGTGTTATAAATATCAGAGTTAACATTTCAGAAAAATCACTGCTTAGTGAAAAATTTTTTATTGCCTGACTAAAGTTCTTGAAATTGCAGACTTCATGGTAAGCTTTCAGAAATCATAAGCATTATTAATATAATATATATANATAATACAGTAATTTTAATATTCAAAAATATAAACAATTACATACCAAAAAGCTTTCTTAAATCTGTAATAACTTTCTCATTCCATGTTTTTACATCACTTGCAGGAATGTATCTTTCAAAGGTCTAAAATAATTTATCAGAATTTAAAAATTTAAGAAACAAATTTCAAGAAACATTCCATTAATTCTAACCTGAGTAGAAATGTTTTCTTTCTTCACATTATTTAGGATGCTATTTTTTACTTCTTGAAGCTCCCTTTCATGAGTTTTCTTTAGATCTGTAATTTTTTTTTCAGTTTTCAAAATTTCTTCTTCCTGAAAATTTAACATCTTTCCCTTCAAATTATCCACAATGGAATGAAATTCTTCAGTCAATCTTGCTATCTCATCGGTGTGCTTTTTATTTAATGCTTGTATGTGTTTCTGATACTTTCTTAATTTTTCCCTCAGCTTGTTTTCTCTTTCTTGAACTTCTTCTAATTCTTGCTTTGATACTTTTAAGTCTACAGTTAATTTATTCATTTCATTTTTGAATTCAGTACTTGAAAATACTTGGTTCTCTTGAAGTTCTTGTTGTATCGGTTTAGTCAAAGTACTTATCTTCTTATTAAGCTATATATATAAATTACTTTTAAAAAATCTTATTTGAAAAACTAATAATCATTTAAAAATTTTAAATATAAATATGTAATTTACTTTGTTCTCATCTAATCTCATCAAAGAGGATGACTTTAGAGTTTCAATTTGTTGTTCTAATCTTTTAATCTCTTGTTTTGAGTTTTGAATTTCAGCTATATGCTGCATCGTTTCTTCATTCTACAATATATTAAATACAATTTTAATATAATTTATTAAACCTAAAGTAAATAGTTATCTTTTAACTCTACCTTTTGTTTATGACATATTTTCTTAGTATTAGATATTGCTTCTTCTAATTCTTGTAAATATTTTTGTCTTAATTTTTCCATATTTTGAGAATATTCTTTTTCAATTAATTTTATTTTATCACCATATTTTTTTTCTAATTCTGCACGTAGTTCATTTAATGATTTCTGTTTATCATTCTCATAATGATTTATTATTTTGATATATAAGTCTTCTATAGCAGTTTCTCCTTTAATGTTATCGCCTCTCTGAGTACAGACATATTATTAAACAGTATTTTGAAAAATTTATACAATATTTTTTGTATAAAATACTTATTAAAATAATTACCTCACTAAATTCAATTAATTCTTGAAAACAGTCCATCTTTATTTTCTGTACAATATTTTCCATTTGTTGGATTTTCTGTATTTTCATCTGTTCTAATAACTGATTTCTTTCCTCTTCAAATTTACTTTCAGTTTGTTTGGTAATAGCAATTATCAATTTATTCCTTTCTATTGCATAAAGAAAAATCAATAATATAAAATTAACTTATATTGATTTGAATTTTATATCATGTTATCTTATGTTTTTTAGTATTGATCTATTTTAACAAGTAACAATAATATTAAGTAAAACTAATTATGGAAACACTGAAAAAACCAAAACTCCAGAAAAGCAAAAATTCCCAAGAAATTTAATTTAATGAAAAAAGCAAGTGTTTTAATAGCTAGGGCCAACAACATATCTGTTGCCTTTAGGTAAAATCTTATCCTCTACATGCTACTGATGAACTGTAAGGGCTATTATGAAGGACTTCTAGCAGGGATTTAAACTATTCCAGTCACTGGCAACATCCTCAACCAACTATTGGAATACATTGGAACTCTAGCCTACCCCTTGCCCAGTGATTGAAGTAACAGCTAACTTCAATAAATAAGGGACACAACACACACCAACTGCTTTAGCCTGCCTACCCATGGAACACATCCTAGCACACCTGAATGAGACCTGACTTTTACATCCAGCCAGGGATCTCCCAATGCTCAAACATCTAGAGTTATTGGAAATACAAAAATGTTGCCATCAATTTCAAGGAGAGAAATACCCTCCATCATGCGTGGAGATCCTTACTTGAGGTCCTTTTATAATTTGTCCACTGCTTTACATCATTATATGAATAATCAATCAGACAATGCCTTCAAAATATTTAAAAATTGATGTTAGAATTTTTGTTCTACTTTTGAATACTGTTTTAACCTGATGATGATAGTTCATAAAATCTTTTTTTTTTTCATATTTTCATTAAATTTCTCACAAATTTTTGTTGGAGTTTGGTTTCTATATTATTATCCAGTTTTTGAGATATTATGAAACTAATTAATTACTTTATATTTTAAAAGCTTTTATAATATTAACATGAAATAACTAAAACTAAACTTATTAAAAATTTATAAATACAAATTTCTAGTTATGAATTATAAAATTATAATCTCTAATTATTTAATACTTTATAATGGTGGTAGTCAACCTGGTCACTACTGCCCACTAGTGGGCGATTCGAGCTTTTGTGGTGGGCAGTAGGCATTTTGTCCGTCATCACTGCGCATCTGTGACTCACTGACGAAGCAGGTTGTACTGCACTCTAGTGCATGTAAAGAGGGTGGGGTGTAACAGTGGCCATCACTCGAGTTGAGCTTGTTTCGTGGTGGGACCAGCCTTGCCAGATTTGGCTACTTCTTTCAGTTTTTGGCATAAAAAAAAACATATGGTGCACTGGCAAAAACTGCCCGTGTATTATAAACATATGCAAAGAATAAAAAGATAAATTTAACTACATATTTTTACTAAACCTCCACTCAAAAATTACAAGTACTTTGCAGTTGCGCTAAATTAAGTTACTGCAGAACCAGTGGGCGGGTAGAAAACTTTACTACCAACAAAGATACAAAAGTGGGCAATAGGTATAAAAAGGTTGACTATCCCTGCTTTATAATATTAAAATACTCAACATTTTTGTATCAGTGATTGAGGCCAATGTAGCTATAAAACTATATTGGCCTCAATCATTGATACAAACATCTAATAGAAGTAGACTTTTTACATATTTACATAAAAATTAAATAGTGCACTCAAAAAAAATATTAAATATGCTATCAAGAAAATTATCTATCAAAGGAGTAAAATAAATTATTTGCCTTAAGGCAACAAAGTTTTTTGAGACACACCATTAGTGTTTTAAATTACTAAAATATGTTGTGTGTTGCTAATAATTATCTATATATATAAAAATGAATGTATGTCTGTCTGTCCTTCATGCATTACTACACCATTTATCCGATTGCCATGAAACTTTGGGAAGTTGTTTAATATACTCCCGCAAAGGTTTCTGGCATAGTACATTTATCCTACAATAGATAGCGTACGTGTATACAAGCATTTCATCATGAGCATTTCAGCATGGTTAGGAGTTGAAACTTGAAATTTGGTACACAGTTAGGGTACATCAGGAGAACACACACTAACAAGGGATTTTTTGAAATTTTCCCCACCCTCGCGGGGAAAGGGACAGGATTAAGGCTTCAACAATGGAAGTGTTAAGAGAAAGCAACGTGCAAGATTTACAGGCACAGATGCAGTTTTTTGCATTAAATCGAACATAATTTTAGACCCATCTAAAAATATTNTGTGCTTTAAACGCTTTTCTAGTGATATTACGACTTCAATATTTGTGGCGGACAGACGTAAAGTCGAATAAAATGACTTAAACTTGATTTTTATTTTTCCATATACTTTTTTGACAAACGACGTATAATCAGGAACGACGTAACTCGAAACGATGTAAGTCGAGGTATACCTGTATACATACACACAACTTTCAAACTGCTTAGAGATTATTAACATTCCATGAAATTTCATAGTAAGAACCTTAAAAAATGCACTAAAATTTATATTTTATTTATCAACAATTAAAAAATAATTTATATAAAAGAGTCAATAATTTCTAAATAAAATTTGCTTATAATTTAAGCATTTAATTAAATTAAAATATTTTAAAATTTTATTAAATGTGTTTAGTACACATGACTTCATCTGTAAAAGCAAATAAACAATACACTTACAAAATGATATTGTATTAATTTCTTTGTTAATTAAATTTGGAACTAGTACAAGCTTATAAATTTAACTAAGAAATGAATTTAAAAAAATAAACTAGTAATATCAGACAAAGCTAGTAACTTTTTAACAAATATTGTAGATGTTAAATAAACAGAGCAGATGTTGGTAACTAGTCTGTCTAGAAATAGAAAAAAATTTTTATGATTAATAAAGAAAAATAACTTGTTTAATACAAGAATTGATAAAATATGGATCTATGAACTTATCTATTGTTGAGAATATATAGTTACAAAAATTTAATAGACAGAGTTTGTTAATTCCAAGAGACAGACAATTTGTTTTTTAATGCAGTTAGGACTCAAAAATTAAATTATTATATAATTTTGTCTTTGCATTTATTTAGAACTATTTTTTATATTTTTTTAAAATTTACTTCCTATTCTAGTTTTAATTTGATTTATCACACCAAAATTCAAAAATTATTAATATTGAGATCAAGTTTTGTTAACAATTATTTTTTAATATTTACAAGTTCATTTATGTTTTAATGAAAATAATACTTGAACTTGGCACCATATTCAAAACAATGAGGGAAAAAAATGCTTAGTGTGTTCTATTTAATTCAATTTGTTTACTTACAACTTCCTATTTTAATTATTCTGATTTTACTTCACTTTTTAATTTAAAAATGTTTGAACATAGAGATGTTCTCTCTTTCAGACAAAGTTGTTCTAACATACTTGCTAATTTTTATAGCTGAAGATGTTCTTATAAAAGAACAAAAACATTACTGAATAAAACTTTAATTTGGTTTCCAGAATTAAGCATTTCTTCTCATCCTTTTTTTTATTATGTTTTAATAAATACATTAAATTTATTATTATTAACCACCTTTTAGTTTAATTCATTCTCTACTTATTTAGTTATCATTATAAGAATGTATTTGTTTTTACTGTAATTTTAAAATGTCTTTTCTATTTTCTGCTCAAATTCTTAATTTTTGGGAATGAAGACATATATTTATAAAAAACATTTCAGAGCACTAAATTATTATTTGCTAACTTCTTCATCTAAGATTTTTTGTTATTTTTATATAAAATGAAATACATTCACATAAAATTTCTTCATTAATTAAATGAAAAACATAATTGAGAGAAGTATAATTTGTGATATTTTTTTGAAATAATTTATAAACTTCTTTTTCTTTTCTCTCTTTGAGATGTTAACATTAAAAACTGCTGTTAACAGCATATAAATGACAATATATACAAAATAGATTTCTGAAACCAAAAAGATTTTGCATCAGAATCCTATTTAATTCTTCTATTAATGTACAGTATAGTACAATTCAGAACTATGAAAATCAAATTCATTAACTTTCTAATAAATTTCTATAACAAAAAAATTCATAGAAAATATTTAGTGTTTACCAACTACCAGATTTCAGTAAAAATATACAAAAAGGAATTTGAAATGAATAAATATGCAATGATTGTTAAAGTAAATTATCAAATACTGAAAATTTGGAAACATGAAGAAAACCAATTTTTCTTCTATCCAAAGAAGAGAAAAATATTTGGGAATTCAGATTGGTATTTATAAATTATTATAGGTTAAAGCATCTTTAAAATAGTAAACACAAATAGAAAGTAATAAAAATAGTAAAGAATAAATTGGACTCTAAAATACAAAATATCTTCAACAAATTCATGGGCTATATCTATTTTATTCTGAACTGGTCACAGACTGATTTGGAAGCTCTTGACAGGTAGATTAGATCAATACTAACAACTTTTCATGTTTATCATTATACAGTGGCAACTTGAAAGACTATCTGATGAGGTTTGCAGGGAAAGAGAGCTCTTTAATATTCAAAAATTAAGTATTAAGATAACTAGAAAATTACAAGTTTATTCTGTAAAATAAGATTACTCCAACCTATGCAGCTTTTGTCTACTGTATTCAACAATACACACCACTTAACTTTCATTTTTAAGATGTGTTATAAATATCAGAGTTAACATTTCAGAAAAATCACTGCTTAGTGAAAAATTTTTTATTGCCTGACTAAAGTTCTTGAAATTGCAGACTTCATGGTAAGCTTTCAGAAATCATAAGCATTATTAATATAATATATATAATAATGCTTTTGATTCCTTTTTAGTTGGGTACATGACAGCTGAGTGATGGTCAACTGGGCAATAGTCAAGTGGACAAAAGTTAATTGGGCATTTTGTATGCTTGCTAAGCATAAATTTTGTATGCTTGCTAAGCATGCAAAATTTTATATATATATATATATATATATACAGTAGAGCAGTGATTATCCAAATCAATTGGGGACTGGGATTGTTCAGATAATTGATTTTTAGGATAACCGATTATGTACAAAAAATATATTAACCTATCCCATGTTGAAATTCATTCAAATCATGGTACATCCTTAAGTACCCTCTTATGGTCGTGCCAGTGCTGCCAGCTAAAACACGCATGCCAACAAAAATAATATTGGATAGCCCAAGACATAGCCAAAGATTGCAGTGCCACAGCACTAGTGGAAATTTAAATTTGCCAACTGGAAAGCTTTTGGTTATGTTTCGGTTGATCGATATTCAGATAATCGCTGCTCTACTGTACCAATAAATATGGTTAAGACTTATGAACTATTGAGTTATTTCCAACTTAGGAAAAGGAAATGTTTTGGAACAAGGTACTATAGTATTGTTAATTATTGTGTGTCAGAAGCAGTTAACAAAGCACATCAAAGAAAAGCAGTTCTTCAAAAAAAAATTATTTTGAAGAACTTTTATATTTTTTTTGTTTTAATGTATATTGTATTTAATATATAATGTAATGTATTTTTAATTTTATGTAATTGTCTTCTTTGTTTTTATGTATTTGTTAATTTTCAAGGGTAGATATCAACAACTACTTCAGGACTTTTCTATTTACTTGTAAAAATAAATAAATAAATAAAGTACATAACTTATATAAATATTATGATTGTTACTAGTAATTACAAAATCATTTATTTAACTCATTTAACTTGTTTCTTCAAAATATTTAAATTTACTGAGTAGTAGATCAATAGAAGAATGATTTTAATAAAGAAAATAAAAAATTTTGTATTTTATCTATTATTGATCTCTTATCTTGTTGCCCAGATGTCTTGTATCCAGTTGGCAACAGCCCAATTGACAACTGTCCAATTGTCTCCACCCAGTTAACAGTCCTCTTTTAGTTTTATATATACAAATACGCAAAACTTATATATATATATTAGTAGAACCTCAATTATCCGGACCTCTATTATCTGGATTCTCGATTATCTGGATTGTTCAAAATAAACAAAAATTTTACGAATTTGCTGATTTGCACTTGGTGAATTATGACACTGTTTATGTACGTGATGGAATGCATAAGTTTTTTTGTTTCAACAGCGTCTCACCCAGCACAGTGATCGTAAACTCTTAAATATATTTTATGTCGTAATAAAAATATAACTTAACATACGTATTTATAAATAATTTATATTCAAATTACGTCATTTATATGACCAGGGCGGCGTAAGGCATAGATGACATGGGCCATTGCCTATGCCTCGCGGTCCGAAGGGCCTCGCACCTTGAAGGTTTATGCATTACTTAAAAGCCACGAAAGCAATGAAAAAATTTTACTCATCATAAAACGATAAATAGTTTGTCAAATTTTTATTCATAAAAATGCAGTTTCAACTGCTTTTTATTTTATAAAATCTGTCTTCTTGCACCACCAGAGGGCCTTTTAAACAATAGGTAGTCTGTTAGCGCTGGTCAGTAGTAGTCCAAATTCAATACAAACATTTGTTTCTTGAAAATTTGATCACGATTTAAATACAGTATTTACTTT